GTCACCGTCCCTGGGGGATTTGTCACCGTCCCAGGGGATTTGTCACCATCCCAAGGGATTTGTCACCGTCCCAGGGGATTTGTCACCATCCTGGACGGATTTGTCACCGTCCCAGGGGATTTGTCACCGTCCTGGGGGGATTTGTCACCGTCCCGGGGGGATTTGTCACCGTCCCAAGGGATTTGTCACTGTCCCAAGGGATTTGTCACCGTCCTGGGGGGATTTGTCACCATCCCAAGGGGATTTGTCACCGTCCCAAGGGATTTGTCACCGTCCCAAGGGATTTGTCACTGTCCTGGAGGGATTTGTCACCATCCCAGGGGATTTGTCACCGTCCCAGGGGATTTGTCACCGTCCTGGGGGGATTTGTCACTGTCCCAAGGGATTTGTCACCATCCCAAGGGATTTGTCACCCTCCTGGAGGACCTGTCACCCTCTCAAAGGACCTGCCACCACCCCGAGGGGACCGGCCACCACCCTGGAATGTCCTGTGGTCACCTCTGTCCCCACAGGAGTGTCCTCGGGTGTCCCAGCCCGTTACTGGTCCCCCGTCATCTTCGTGGTGCTGGCCCTGCTCGTGCTCCTCGTCACCTACCACAGGACCAAGGACAAAGGTCTGACCCCGGCACCCCAAAAACCTCCAGGGGTCACCACCCCAAAAGGTCCAGAAATGCCCCAAAATATCCAGAAACTTCCCAAAAACCTCCAGGGGTCACCACCCTGAAAGGTCCAGAAAGACCCCAAAATATCCAGAAACTTCCCAAAAACCTCCAGGGGTCACCATCCCGAAAGGTCCGGGAGTCACCACCCCAAAATAATCAGAAATGCCCCAAAACCTCCAGAAGTCACAATCCCAAAACCCTCTAAAGCCACCACCCCAAAAGATCCAGAAATGCCCCAAAATTTCCAGAGGTTCCAACCCCAAAAACCTCCAGGAGCCAAAACCCCAAAATATTCAGAAATGCCCCAAAATTTCCAGAAGTCACCACCCCAAAATATCCAGAAATTCCCCAAAAGATCCTGAAGTCAAAATCCCAAAATCCTTTGGATTCCATCACCCCAAAAGATCCAGAAATGCCCCAAAATTTGGGTGGAAAGGTTTTTGGGTCTGTTCCAGTCACAGGGATCCGGGACCGGGCCACGAGCGGCAGCGACTCCTCAGGTGAGCCCTGTGGGGGAACTGGGGGAACTGGTTTTACTGGGATGTTTTGTTTTATTGGGGTATTTTTATTTTATATTTTATATTTTATATTTTATATTTTATATTTTATATTTTATATTTTATATTTTGTATCTTGCATTTTATATCTTGCATTTTATATCTTGCATTTTATATCTTGCATTTTATACCTTGCATTTTATATCTCATATTTTATATCTTATATTTTATATCTTATATTTTATATCTTATATTTTGTATCTTGCATCTTATATCTTATATTTTATATTTCATATTTCATATTTTATTTTATTTGGGTACATTTTTATTGGGATGCTTTATTTTATTGGGATATTTTATTTTTCTGGGATATTTAATTGTATTGGAATATTTTACTTTTCTGGGATATTTAATTTCATTGGAATATTTTATTTCAGTGGGATATTCAATTTTATTGGGATATTTCATTTTTTCTGGGATATTTCATTTTTCCAGCATTCCCTGGCTTGGTTTATTTGGGATTTTAGGGATAAATTCTGGGCCCTGCTCCAGCTTATCCCAACTGGAAGTGCCCAAATTCCAGCTGGGATCCCCCTGGGATTGGGATTGGGATGATCCCGGTGCTCCTCCCATCCCAAAAAATTCCACAATTCCCAAATCCCGTCAATTCCCGGCTCCCGGCGCCCTCATCCCAACCCTTCCCTCGCAGATACACGGAATTCCCGGGATAAAGGGGATTCTTGGGATAAAGGGGATTTCCGGGATAAAGGGGATTTCCGGGAAAAGGGAATTCCCGGGATAAAGGGAATTCCTGGGATAAAGGGAATTCCTGGGATAAAGGGAATTCCCGGGGAAAAGGGAATTCCTGGGATAAAGGGAATTCCTGGGATAAAGGGAATTCCTGGGGAAAAGGGAATTCCTGGGATAAAGGGAATTCCTGGGATAAAGGGGATTCCTGGGATAAAGGGAATTCCTGGGATAAAGGGAATTCCTGGGGAAAAGGGAATTCCTGGGATAAAGGGAATTCCTGGGGAAAAAGGAATTCCTCAGCCCCAAAAACCCCAAGTTTTTGGCCTCAAAGATCCCAAAATTTTTGCCTCGTAAATCCCTAAAATTTTGTGGCAAAACCCCCAAATTCTTTGCCCCGTAAATCCCAAATCCTGGGATCCCAGAACTCCAAAATCTGCCCCATAAATCCCAAATATTTGATCCCCACAAACTCTCCCCCAGGAGCCGAAATAAATTTATTTTTTAAATTAAAAAAAAAAAGTCAAAATGGGTTTATTTTATTAAAAAAAAAAAAAAAAGAATTTTTTACAATTTTAGTTCCTCTACGGAAAAAAAAAATAAAAATAAAAATAATAAACCAACAAAAATAAAACCCAAAAAACAACGACCAAACACCGATGGAAAAAATTCCTACCGGAGCTGCCGGAATGCTCCAATCCACCGCGAAAAAAATGGGAAAATCCAAGATTTTTGTTTTTTTTTTTTTATATATATATTAAAAACCATTAATTTGACATTTTACAACTTTCTACACGCATGCACAAAAAAAAAAAAAAAAATCTCGGCTCTGCTGGAAAATCCAAAATCCAAACCCAACCCCGAAAACAAAAATCAAAAATTCCAAAAAAAACACAAAAAAATGGGAATTTTTAGCTCCCGAAAAAATTCCCGAATGGAATTGTGAATTCGGGAAGATCCATCCGTTATTTTTTTTGCGGGAAAACGCCGGCGGAGCCGAAGGATCGGGAGGTGAAATCCGGATCCTTCGTCTCCAAAAGGCTGGAAAATATTTGGGAGCAGCGGGAGGGGGTTGAAATTCCCCCTCCAAAAAAAAAAAATTCCCTCCCCAAAAAAAAATTCCCTGCCCCCAAAAAAATTCCCCTGCCCCCAAAAAATTCCCCAAAAAAACGGGGATTTCCTGGAATTTGGATGGATCCCCCCATTTTGCTACTGGTGCTTACTGGGGAAGCCTCCCCTGGCTCCTTTTTAGTGCTTAGGACAAAACCGACCCCAAAATCCGAGCCCAAAACTCCTCCCCGGGAATGAAATCCGGCGCTTCCGACCCCGCGAGGGCGGAGGTGGAAACTGGAAGGATAAAAATAAAAAACGAAACGGGAAAATAAAAATTCCGAATCCGTCCGTGAGGTATTTGCGACCTTATCAAAATTTAAAAAAAAATCCCGAAAACAAATGGTGGGAAAGGCAAAAAAAAAGGCGTTTTTTGCATCCCGCTGGGAATTCTGTGGGATTTCCTCGTTGGTGAGCGTTGAGCTCTGCCAGGAGCTCCTCGGGGTTACGGATCCGTGATTGCTCCGATGGCACTTGGAAGTCCCTGCTGGAATTTGGGATGAGGATCCCCTCAGGAGCAGCAAAATCCACCCCAAAAATACCCCAAAAGCTCTGAAAAACCCAAATTTCCGCTCATTTTTCCCTCAAAAAACCCAAAACCGGGAGCGAGGAGGAAGCTCCCAAAACCTGGGATAAACCACGGGAACTTTTCCATAGCAGCCACGGATCCCAAATCCTTCCCCCACGGCCCAAAAAATTCCCTTGATTTGGGGAATTTGGGGAATTTGGGGATCCCAAAGCCAGCCCCGGGGGCCGGGTTTGGGTTTAAGGCCAGAGCCAGGACAGTTGTCCAGGAGAAGAGGAGCAGAAGGTCGGCAGGACCCGGAGCTGCTCCCAAACGCTGGTGAAGAAGGAAATCGGGAATTCTTGGAATTAGCCCTTGAGTTACGGCTCCAAAGGATCCGGATTCCGGGAATGAGGAGGAGGAGGAAGAGGAGGAAGAAAAGGGGCTCAGCCACCTCAAAAAAAAACCCCACAAGTGGTCACGATCCCAGGAAAGCGCCGGAGCTGGCAGCGTTTTTCCCGTTTTTCCCGTTTTCCGAGCCAAATTCGGAGATTCGGAGCCGGAAGAATTTTTTTTTGGGGGGGGATGAAAAAAAACCAACAACAACAACAACAAAAAAAAAATAAATCCCGGCCGATCACACCGAGGTCTCCGACTGCAGCCTCATGATGAACTTGTGCGACTTGGGGTCCACGAATTCCTCGGAGAGCTTGAAGAACGGGATCTTCTTGGTGGACACCACCAGGCTGAAGTCCTGGCGCTTCAGGACGAAGACCACGCCGTCCTTGAGGCCGTTGGTCACCGGCTCCTCGCTGACCAGCGTCCACTGCTTGGCCAGCCAGCGTTCCTTGTGGTACTGGATGGTGGGACCGGCCGTCAGGTAGCGCTCCAGGAAAGCCTTGGGAATGGGGAATAGCGGGAATGTCACCTCCGGATGTTTTTGGGGGTTTTTTGGGGGGGATTTTTGGGGTTGTTGGCGGTTGGGGAAGAGCTCTGAGGTCATCTGGGCGATCCCCAGAATTCCAGGAATTCCTTGGGGGTGGCCACTCCAAAGCTCCAGCCCCTTCCAAGGAATTTTCCCTGTTTTCCAGGAGGGGTTTTCCCGAATTTCCCACCCTGAGCCTCCCCTGGCACAGCTGGAGGCCGTTCCCTCTTGCCCTGTCCCTGTTCCCTGGGCTCAGATCCCAAATCCCCCCTGGAAAATCCCAAATCCCCCCTGAAAAACCCCAAAACTCCCCCTGGATCCCCCTTTTCTCCAAGCTGAGCCCCCCCATCTCCCTCAGGATTTCCCATTCCCTTCTCCATCCCCATCCCAAGAGAAAAAACCCCAACCCCACCCAGCTCCAATCCCTAATTTTCCCGATCCCAACGATCCCGAACGGATAAAAAAAAACCCCTTTTCGGGACATCTCCTCCACCTTGGGGGTCATGTCGTGGGTGATGCAGAACTCCAGGTGCTGCAGGATGCTCTCCATGGTGTGGTAGGGCTGCTGCTTGGTGGTCCTCAGGTACTTCTGCATGGCCCGGGCCATGGAGGCGAAGATGGCCTGGGCGGCCTCGCGGGGGTCCATGATCTCCCGGGGGTTCTTCTGCTCCTCCTCCTGCAGCCGCTTGATGTGGGTGAAGGCTTCTTCCACCGCCACCACCAGCCTGAGGGGACAGGCGGGAAACCACGCGGGTTTGGGGTGGGAAACGCCGCGGGTTTGGGGTGGGAAACCCTCTGGATTTGGGGTGGAAAATGCCATGGATTTGGGGCAGGAAGCACTCTCAATTTGGGGT